ATTGGATGAAAATGGTTTTCATGGAGGACCTTAGTAGGTCCTGTGGTTTTCTAATACCATGATTATGTTAGTCCTTGATGGAATTTCCATGTCATTTAGTATCCATCATAAATAAGTTTCCACTTTTGCTTCCTGTCAGAAGTAATTAACATAAGAGTCCCGTTCTCTTGGTCACCCGCCTTTGGATTTGATATCAGGGGGTGCATAATAAATGGATGTGCTTTTAAAAATTTTAATTTCAAACCCTATCAAATCCAAGGGTGGGTGACCATGTATTGTGACGAAGAGAAGGTTTCCATTTAACATAAACTTAATTGAGTTAGCAAACTCGTGCCATGAGACGTGAGCTCTTACAAGTTGTTTATCTAATGGTGTGTGAGGTAAGAAAAAATAGTAGATTTACCTCTTTATCTGTAACTAGGCAGATCAAACCAATGCCTTTTAGACTAGTTATCCAAAGAATTCAAAGAACTTAGTGAAGAAGGCTTTGGTGTATTTAACACAATACGTTGAAATGAAACAAAGCTTATTTATTGATATCTCTGATAAGTTACAAATATGTACATATACATGAGTCAAAATAAACAAACAAGAGGGAGCTTTCACAAAGGTTGCTTAGGAGAAGTCTCAGCAGTCGGTAGAGCCCCAGAAAGAGAAGGCACCGGAGGGGGATCATTCGGAGCCTCAGTACTGGACAGAACCCTAGAAGGAGGAGGCATCGGAGGTTGATCATTTGGAGCTTCATTACGCGGTACAGCCCCAGAAGATGAAGGCAATAAATGCCTTTGGAACAAACCCACAAAACCTCTGATGATCAAGTAAAATTTGACTATCAGATTCCTTCATCTGATCAAGCTTCCTCTTCATGTTTGTAGCATAGTCATGTGCGAGCCGGTGCAACTGTTGATTCTCATGCTTGAGCCCTTTAATCTCCTGTTTGAGACTCATCACTTCAGCCGCCAATGATTCAACTTGGCGGGTTCGAGCAAATAGGCGTTGTGTCATATTAGACACAGAACCTGCACACTGAACACTGAGAGCCAGAGAATCCTTAACAGCCAACTCATCAGACCGTTTGGAGAGTAGTCTGTTATCTTTGGGAGTGAGAAGGTTCCTGGCCACCACCGCAGCGGTCATATCATTCTTCATCACGGAATCCCCAACGGTAAGAGGACCAGTAGGGGATAAGAAGGATGTGCGCCATATGTTGTCTGGAGAAGGCGTGGCTGCCTCTTCAACAAGGTTCAAGTCAAAACGACGGTCGGAGGGGCCAAATATTTTCAAAGGTGTTGAAGAGAGAAGAGGTCGGACAAATCAAGATCTTAGAAATGCAAGAAGGGAGCTTCTACTGGTGGAGATTCAAGTGTGCTTTGGAAACTTAATGCCAGCCTCTATAAAAATCTGCACTCAACGGAGCTTCAGAAATCGAAGAGGTGTCTGCTCAGAAATCGAAAAGGCGTTTGCTTTCTCAAAAGCTGGGTTGCTCAGAGACCACGAGGGTTGATCTCAGAAATCGAAGAGGCGTTTGCTTTCTCAAAAGCTGGGCTGCTCAAAGACCACGAAGGTCGATCTCAAAAATCGAAGAGGCGCTTGCTTTCTCAAAAGCTGGGCTGCTCAGAGACCACGAGGGCCGATCTCAGAAATCGAAGAGGCACCTGCTTTTTCAGCCTTGTCAGCACCTGTCACATGCACTCAGCTTTGCGGAAATTACGGGCATTCTGTTGAAAATTTCTGGTGAAGTAGAAAGCACGTGAATCTTACTGTTCAATCATCCACTTTCCACACGCAACATCAACTTATGGGTACCACAGATAACTTTGCTAAAGATCTTTGACAAAGTTTAGACACGTGAAGCTTGCAGCTCCCATTACATCGCTATGACCAAGAAGGGTAAAAGAATAGTAAAGAAACAGCACTAACAAAGTTTAGACACATAAATTTTGAAGGTCTAGCTACCATATTAGTACCCACAAGGGTAAAGGAACAGGACCACTGCTGGATAATTGGAAAGTCTCTGTGTGTTAACCTCTGTGCTCCGTGGCAAGGTAGACTAGCAAACATGCCCAACCTTTACTCACATTCGAGAAAAACATTCCCAACAAGATTGCTTGCTCCAAGATTGAAGAGGCACCGCCTTCCAAATCTCGAGAGCCAGACTCCCATCATGATTACTTTCTCAAAAATCGAAGAGACACCACTCTCCGAATCGCCAGAGCCAGACTCCCAGCAGGATTGCTTTCTCAAAAATCGAAGAGGCATCGTTCTTCGAATCTCGAGAGCCAGATCCCCGACAGGATTGCTTGTTCGAAAACCGAAGAGGCACCACTTTCTCAACTTCGAGAGCCAGATTTCCTTGGATAAAGCTTGTCTGTAATCTTCACACGCAACATCAGCTTTTCAGATACCACAGACCACTTTTTCAAAGTGCTCTGACAGAGTTAAAACACGTGAAGCTGGCAGCTCCCACTACTGTGCTATGACCAAGCAGGGTAAAGGAATAATATTACTACTTCTTGTTAGGGAGACTCCTATATATGTTGACTTCCATCCTCAATGGACAGGCAGACCTGCAAAAATGCTCAACCCTTCCTCATATCTGATAGGGCACTCCCAACGAAGCCTCTCGAAATACTCAGCTTTCTTTTCCCTCGATAATACCTCTGCAAACAAGCTACTCCAGAGCAAGAATATCTCATATCATCAGGGTTAAAAGCAAGAGTATCCCATATCATGCTTTTTTCCTGTCTTTTCCTTTGGCCTTGTTCTTACTTGCAAGACAAGGGGAAAGAGAGCAATCAGTCAGCACTTGGAATCAAACTTCCAATCAGGAACTGACTGCCTGGAACTCCTTACCTGATTACTTACCTGGCATTGCTCTCGAGTACTCATCTTCAGCATCTTATGCTTCTAGAGAAGATACCACATCTGCCTGAGGAACAGATAGGACAAGTGAGAAGGATATAAGCGTAACAGAACACGTACCGATACATCCACTACTTTGTCAACAACAAAAGTATCCCATATCAGCAGGGTCGAACGTACTCTAGATTTGATGGACTTGTTTTGACCCTCAAATTCTTCAGTCGGCCTTATACTCTGGAGGAAACCAGAAAACCCTCCAGCCCAGTTCAAGAATAAGCCTGTGGAAAGTTACTTCTTCAAAAGCAAAAGTATCTCATATCATCTCTTCTCCTTTTCTTCTCTTTATCCTTCATGCTGCCTGCAAGATAGGGAGAATGAGAACAATCAGCCGGAACTCGAAATCAAACTTCTGATCTGGGACTGATTGCTTGGAGCTCTGATTGCTTACCTTGTCTGTCACCTCTTCCAGCAGATCTCATAGCTCGGCGACTTGGGGGACTCCTACTACATGGTTTGTATCGCGCTTGACCAAGCCTGAAACTACAAGGAAGCTTCAAATGAAATTGATACATTACCTTGTGCATCTCCACCAGTTAAAGATACCACCCCTGGATGGAGGAAGAGTACTTCCAGAGAAGATGCCACATCTACCTATGAGACAGATAAGGCAAGTGAAGACGATACCACACTTCGGTACTTAGAAGTTTCGTGATTACGAGATCATTCTCCCACAATATTTCCTTATGTCATTTGTACTAAACCATTCACTTGTACTCACTAAAGGAGAGCTTGAACCTATGTACTTGTGTAAACCCTTCACAATTAATGAGAACTCCTCTACTCCATGGACGTAGCCAATCTGGGTGAACCACGTACATCTTGTGTTTGCTTTCTTGTCTCTATCCATTTACATACTTATCCACACTAATGACCGAAGCAATCTAGCGAAGATCACAAACTTAATACTTTTTGTTGTACCGAAGTCCTCACTGATTTTGTGCATCAACAATCCTTAAGTCCTTACCTTTTTGCGTTGGTAATGGATGAGTTAACAGGATATATTCAAGATGATATTCCTTGGTGTATGCTTTTCGCAAACGATATAATGTTGATAAATGAAACTCAGGAAGGGGTAAATGCGAAGCTTAACCTTTGGAGAGAAGTGTTGGAATCTAAAGGTCTTCGCCTAAGCCGATCAAAGACAGAATATATGGAGTGCAAGTTCAGTGCAAACGGAGGCCAAAATGAGTTAGGGGCGAGGATCGGAGATCAGGAAATACCAAAGAGCGACCGTTTTCGCTACCTAGGATCTATCTTGAAAAAGAACGGAGAATTAGATGGAGATCTCAACCATAGAATACAAGCTGGATGGATGAAGTGAAAGAGTGCATCCGGCGTGTTGTGTGACCGTCGTAGGCCACTGAAGCTCAAGGGAAAATTTTATAGGACGGCACGGCGATGTTGTATGGCACAGAGTGTTGGGCGGTGAAGCATCAACGCGTACACAAAATGGGTGTAGCAGAGATGAGGATGCTTCATTGGATGTGTGGGCACACGAGAAAGGATAAAATTAGGAATGAGGATATCCGAGGTAAATTAGGAGTAGCCGAAATTGAAGGAAAGATGAGAGAAAATCGGTTACGGTGATTTGGACATGTGCAAAGAAGGCCTATTGACGTTCCGGTTCGAAGATGTGACTACGGGACAGAGGTTCATGGCCGAAAGGGTAGAGGAAGACCTAGGAAAACTTTGGAAGAGATCCTAAGAAAAGATTTGGAGTACTTGGATCTAACGGAGGACATGACACAAAACCGAACGCAATGGCGTTTTAGGATTCATAGAGCCGACCCCACTTAGTGGGAAAAGGCTTTGTTGTTGTATATATATAATTGGAGCAGTTTCTCCCATATATGATTTTCCACAAGCACAATAACTCACGTTCACGCCCACTGCACATACACACGGACCGATACACTGGTAAATGTATACCCTTTCCATTGGATTCACAAATTTGTTTGAGCACTCAATGTTATAGTGTCATGCTATCCATTTCTGGTGTTATTTGTTCGACAATCTCATTAAGCCTGCTTTTTGTTTTTAATAATTGGTTGTTTATTTATTCTTTCTGCTAAATTTTTATTAGCTCTGTATTTCCTTTGCAGGGTCGATATGAGATTATTTCCCTGTCAGGTTCCTACTTGTTTTCTGAAAATAATGGGAATCGCAGCAGAAGTGGTGGTTTGAGTGTATCCTTAGCAGGGTCTGATGGTCAAGTTTTGGGAGGTGGAGTTGCTGGCATGCTAATGGCAGCATCACCAGTACAGGTACCATTCTGCTATTATTTGCTCAGCGTATCTGTTATATGAAATTATGACTGTTCACCTTCTGTGCTTGTAAAGGACATTCAGGGCGAGAACCTTTTTCAAGTTAAAAAATATAACCCTGTTATTCGAGCTCAATTTGAATTTTAACTGCAGGTGATTGTGGGTAGTTTCATTGCCGACGGGAAGAAATCCAACCCCAACTTGGTAAAGTCGGGAACTTCCTCTCCCCCAGCATCACAAATGTTGAACTTTGGTGCGCCAATGACAGCAGCCAGCCCGTCCTCTCAAGGAGGAGGGTCAAGCGAGTCGTCTGACGAGAATGGCAGCAGTCCTCTCAACAACAGCAACAGGGGACCTGTGCTCTACAGTAATGCAAATCAACCCATTCATAATATGCAGATGTATCAATTATGGGGGTCAAGCTCAACAATGAAGAAGACGATGATACTTCCTAGCCGGTTACAAGTACAGTAACCGCATTTGACTGATTGCGTTCTTATTTCAAATGCCGATTGAAATCCTCCATTGTCCGATCCGAAGCAACTCCGAGTCTGGGGGGCTTATTTAGTTCTAGATTATTGAGTTTTTTGTTTTATGGTAGTTTAACATTTTTTTCTTCGTCTCTCTCCCTCTCTACATATGATTGAAACATGGCTATTGCTTATTGCTGAGAATACGCCGCCTGTT